CCCTTGGTGAAATGGGGGTCAAAGATTTGGTGGGTGACGTTTCGCGCTCAAATTCATTTTCAAAGCTCTATATGAAAAATCATTTGAGACGTGTTTCACATTTTTCGAAAAACTCCTTCGGTAGAAATGCGATTCAAAGATTTTTCGGGCGAAGTATGAAGTGGTGTTTGATTTGCTTCAAACTTATTTTAGAGCTCTACATAAGAACTCAATGAATACGTGTTTCAGCAATTTGGAAAATTCCGCCAAAAACAGTGGCTAATTAGCAAAAAACGTTGGTATGAAAAGATTATTGTTAAAATTCATTAGAGGGGTGTTTCACACTTTTTGAAAAATCCATTCCTCCTTGGTGGAAATGTGGTGAACTGACGGAAAACGTTTGTATGACAGTATTTTGATTACTGTCTTCTCCGTTTTAAAATCATTTCCAAAGCTATTTCAGAACATTGATTTTATAACAAGTGTCACGGGCAAGGCCGGGCTATATCCGCTAATACTGTAATGAAGCCAGCAGTGAAAAACAGCAGTATAATAAGTTTTGAATTGAACGAACTGTTTCATTCTAATAAAACAATCTATTACATAAACAACTATGGTTAAAAGATATCATAATATTAAAATTTTTAACAAATCAAAAATTGTAAGCTAGTTAGTGGAGAGCTAGCGCTTTGTGTCTTTTTGCCATGAAGATCATATCCCGGAGATCGAAAAAATCGACGATGGTCTCATAATTGTGAAAGATATGAATGGCACTATTAAATGGCAAAATGAGGAGAAACACGCGAGAGGCACCTACATGATCAACTTCTGGAACCAAACCTTATTCATCAATAAACGAGAGTTCAGCAACTTAGAGGGCAGTCATAACCCCAGGAAATCACACAACACAAATAAACCCGATAGAAAACGAAAGAATTAAGATTCTTTCTCTGGAAGCATTAGAATTGCACATCAACAACATAAAAAACATGCAAAAACTTCAGAGCTCTGTTTACAGCTGCCATCCGAGCAGCGAGAGACCATTTAAAAATAAGAAATTAGTTTAAAAAAAAAATTAGATTAAATGCACGAACAAATTTTGAAGCATAAGCAATAAGCAATGAATAACATCGGGACAAGATTACCGAGTTGTCAAATATATAGTGGAGAGAAAACACAAAGATATGTTAACCCAAGGTATTAATCGGCATAGCCAGTCGCCTTATTGTAGTCCCTTATGGATGGTACCAGGGAACGCAAAATTTAGAGTAGTTGTCGATTACACAGGATTAAACAACTTCACAGTTAATGATAAATATCCCATTCAAAACATGGACGAGATTTTGGAAAAATTAGTATGATGCTCATATTTTACAATAGATTTAGCAAAGGGCTTCCATTAGATTGGAATGGATCAGAAATCAATCAATAAAACACCATTTTCTAACAAATACGGACATTACGAGTATACTCGAATGCCCTTTGGACTTAAAAATACACCAACCTTCCATAGATACATGAATCATGTTCTTCGCGATTTAATCAACAAGCATTGTATTGTATAGAAAAGTGCGAATAAAAAAAAAAAAAATAGTTGGGCCACATTATAAGTCCAGAAGGCATACGGCCAAATAAACTAAAAGTAAAGGCAATACAAGAATTTCCTTTGACAAATACAAAAAATTGCAAAAATTGCAAAACCCATGACTGTTTACTTAAAGAAAGCAGCACACATCTAATAACACAAACTAACTAGATAGTACTGAATATACTTATAACGAGAACTTACCAAAAATAACATTGAATTAAAACTGTATTAAAAATGATCTTAATTGAAGGAAATAACATAATAAAAATCCAGTAATACTTATTGAAATATTACTATATTAAAATCACTTTCAAACAAAAGAAATAATATTCGAACATACTAAAGAAATGAATATATTCCAAATTATAATTACAGTATTCGTAATCATCATAATTATCATAACGTATCTAGCATATTCGTTTAAATACCCAAACGAATATTTATTAAGAAACTAAATGTTATTGAAATTAAAAAAATGAACAAGGTAATTTAAGTATGCTACCAATTAAACCGTTTTTTATATACCCTACACGGAGGGTGGAAGTGACATATTCATAAGCTGCATTGGCTTAACTCACTGCAAGTTTACAAATTAAATAATCACAACAATAGCATGCCTTCTGCAGCCGAATAAAAATAATAATAACAGCTCGTTGTCATAAATTTGAGAAACTAGGTTGAGACCCTTGCTCGCTACAGTGATCTTGCTTAATGGCGGACAGACTTCATTTAGGTAATGGCAAATTCAATCGTCTCACGATATTGCGATTACGGTGTGTTGGCATTTTTATTCCATGAACCCATAAAAAATGGGTATAAGGGGATATTGTATTTGTGCAAAATCCGAATGTATGTGACAGGCAGAAGGAAACATCTCTGACCCCATAAAAAGTATATTTATTCTTGATCAGCATCAATAGCCGAGTCCGTCCGTCAGTCCGTATGTATGAACGCAAGGGTCTCAGAGCCTATAAGAGCTAGTGAAATTTTAGATGTAGGTGCTCCTAGTGCTTGCGTAGATCGAGCTTGTTGCCGATAATTGATAACTTACTCCGTTTCCAAGCGTTTGGGTAATTTTGGTAAATTATAAGAGCTAGTCACCAAACTTGAAATATAGCTTCTAAAATAGAATATTTTATATGCATTTGATGCTGGAAGAAGAGGGTTCAGGGTATCCCCTGGTGGGGAGCTCCCGAATAGAACCTCTTGTTGTAATAAATGCTCTGTTATATATAAAACCAATTTGACATGTATTTTCTAGAATAGTTAAATATATATCCTGCATTTTATAGCTACCGCTTCCAGAACAAAGCTAAAAATCTAAAAATAAAAGTCATAATTTTAATGTAATTGACATTTTAAGAGATTAAAATGTTAAGTTTGTATATTCAGATCAGAATCCGCTTGTCCAACAATTTCGTTTAGAACCGTCATATGACGATGTCGTGGACTGCTATTGGTTCAAGTGGTAGTTGAGTGCAGAAAGATACTCGCGGCACTCACTTTCCAAAAATTTGTCATCCATCCGGAAACTCGAGAGACTCGAGCCAAGCTAGCTTCTTCTTCTTCGTCTTGCTCCCGTGAACCTCTCTCAGGCAAGCCGCTTGATTGACATATGAGAATATGAGTCAGAGTCAGGACTTCGGCCTTAGATATCTTGAATGGAACACCCAGCACGCGCTCAACGACAATCCCTGCTAGCCGTAGCATAGCCCAAAGTGAGGCAGAATTTGCAACAATACAGACTTTTTTCGTTTCCACGATCTTCCCATGGGAACCTGGGGAAATAAAGATGAACTCCAGTTCCGGGTATTGTCGCTCTATCTAAATACCTCGCCCAGCACTTCTCGCGAAGCCGTCCAACGACAATAAAAGGGTCAAAAGTAATCCGTATCAGTATATGTGAATGGTGGAGAATAGAGCGATAACCGTTCGATTTGCAGGTCGCCCATTTCTGGTGGCTTTGGGCGGGCACGTCATATGCGGAAGGCTAGGCAGGCATTGAAAACGTCTCTCACTAATGCTCGTAAGCTACAAGCTCAGTTCCTTTAGCGCAATTCATAAATTTCGCGTGTTCTTATCAATTTCGTCGTCTGCCACGCTTTGAACTGATGAAACTTAATGTTAGCTGTCCACAACTGATTCTAATAGAATCTCTCTAATACGATGCGCTACTGAGTAGAGCACATCGTTTGAACCTCTTTAAAATGTTTGCCTATGTATGCCCACCGACATTGCTTTTGACAACTCCTGCATCAGTTTCATACGAGGTATGGACACGGGCTTAAAAGGTGCTACTCTCGCTTTCGAAGCAGCCAAGCTCGTAATGTCAAATAAAATGGGCGTGGAAGCAGAAGCTTGCAGCAATCCAGGAAGCCACACTCAGTCCATAATCGTAATAAAGAGAAAGACCGCTGATCGGTATTTTTAAGTTTCAAAGTGTAGAATTGTTTGTGTTATCCTGTAATACTGCTCCTGTAATACTGCTCCATACTGGCTAGTGAAGCCAAATTGGTGATCTGGTATCTCGATCCCGTCTTCCAGCAGTGACAATTATCTACCCAAAAATATTCTTTCGAATACTCGACAGTTAATAAACCTATGGGACGGTAGGAGGCAGGGTCTGGATCAGCTACTTGACGGCCACCGTCTTATGCCGTATTACTGTTTAAGTGCTTACGATGCATCCAACGAATTTGTAACCTGCATTAAGCTCCTTTGAATTCAATAAAGAACATTCTAAATACTTACGTCATATAGCAACAACAGTTATACTTATTTACAGTGAAAACATGGAGTAATTAAAGGAGACGACCAGTGATGATGGTAAACAACAGCGAACATAACCCTAAGTAAGCAGCGGAGCGCTAGATCCTCACGTAGTCCGGCAGGGCCTTTTCAATGGGGAGAAGATAAGAAAATTGCGAAACAAAAAAGGCAAAGGAGCGTAAATATAAGAAGTCTTCTCACTCTTTTTATTTCCTTTTAATACTAACTTCGGGCAACGGGATAAGTCTGTGCTTAACCAAACCCTCTTCCCTAACCCAAAATATCATACACATTACTACACGTAGTACGAGGCGTCAGCCCGTCGCCTGTGAGAAGAATCTCAGCTTTTGTGAGTTTGTGTGTCCAACTAACGAAAGGGTAGCGTAAACCTCAAAGGCTACTCAGACGGCTTATCGATGAACACTTCATCATATTCTGCAGAGTATTACAGGGTTAGCCCCTTCAAATGATAACAGAAAGATGGCTATATTGATTCATTCGCGGATATTAAAGGCATTCAAAATGTTAGGGATGATTGATATGGAAAGGTTCATACATCCAGAATTTGGCTTGCAGACGAGAATATGTAAATTTAATTATTATCTAGTATATTAAAGGTTAATATGAATTTATAAAAGTACATATAAAAGACAGTCATACTCACTCTATATAATTGTCTCGAATTTTCTCCAGAACTGCCATTGCTTGACGAACATCGTCCAAGTCATTTATAGGTTTTTGTAAAATTTTGTCGTGCTCCTTAATAAAATCTATCATTTCATCTAATTGTTTTTTATATTGTACACTCAAAAGCTGACCCAACATTACTTTCCACTTTTTTGACTCTGAAACTAGCTTTTGCATTGTATTATTCATACGGACCTCTATAGGTCCAATAATTCGCTTTGGACTCATTGTCTCAATACTCTGAGTAATACCATCGTAGTATAAAAACATATCACGTATATCAACTGTTAAGGGATTAGTCAAAACAAACGTGTTAATAATTTCTTCTCGATCTTCGGCCCAAAGATATTTATTTCTTTCAAATATTTCACGTTGAAATTCCTCCATGTCAGTTTTGTAACTAAGCAATCCATTTGCTAAGTTCTGAACAGCTCGTATTATATCCTTATGCTCTACCACATATCGAAAATAGTTTCTCTCATATTTATTTTCATCTGCAGGTAAAAATGTGAGATATGAATATAGAGAATAGCTTTTTCAATCGATGATGCCCGATCGTAAGTTTATTTAATAGAGAAGTGAAGTACACAAAGTAGCGCTTTAATATCCTGGCCCCCATTGAAACATTTAATAGAGAAGTGAAGTACACAGAGTAGCGCTTTAATATCCTGGCCTCCATTGAAATAAAAAAGGTATAATGTTTTTGTGCAAATATATGAAACAGGCAGAAGGAAACATCTCCGACCCCATAAAGTGTATATATTCTTGATCAGCATCAACAGCCGAGCCGTCTGTCTTTCCGTTGGTCTGTCCGTATGTAACCAATCGGCAAGAATCGATATCAATATCGTGTTTTTTGAGAAAATTGGGTAAATAATAAGAGCTAGAGTCATCAAATTTGATATGTTGCTTCCAGAATAGTACATATATGTCTAGTATCTTTCATTTTATCTTTTCATTTTATAAAGATCGGTTAAGAAAAAACAAAAGTTATATGCAACTGCGTAATAGGATGGGGCACCAGCTTTAAGAATTTCTGTAGACATGTACACACACACATTCATGCGCGTCTGCTTCGGAATCTAACAGCATGGTAACTTCGACTTTTTCTGTAATGCTATTTTAGTTCATTTCATCATAACTACTTAATTATTGTGGTGCCGTCTGTCGCAAGTGCGAGCCTTACCGGGGAGGGAACTTTTTTTTTTTGCTGGTGTGGCATTCAACAACTTAATTTTCAAGGGACTTATGTAAAGTTTCTTTAAGATAGCTTTAAAACTGAGGGAATAGTTCGCATAGAAACAAACAGACGGACAGACGGACATGGCTATATCAACTCGGCTGTCGATGCTGATCAAGAATATATATACTCTATGGGGTCGGAGGTCTCCTATGCGCTACACATTTCACGAAAAATTATAACACACTATACAAGGTTACAATTTAAGAAAATACTTACCAGCGGTTACACGTCTATCCTTTCGTTCCTGAGTTTTTGCTTGTTTGCCCCAAGTAGATACAAAATAATTTATCTCTGTGCAACATAAAACAGCATTATTAAAATCATTTTGCATAATATCCAAGCTCGGCTTAATATAGCAACCACTATTAAAATCCATTTCCAGCTCAGTGTACAGTATAGGTTTCATTTGATTTGTCCGCCAATTAGTCCTGAATGAAAAAATAAATTATTAAATATTTTGGTAGGCCATGACTTTACTTGTTTAATAAAGATAAAAAAAGAGAGGTAAGTATATTTTCGGCACGTCAAAGATTAAAAAACATTGTTAGACTTTTCGCTTTTGTAGATGTTAGTGCAGACGAAAATGCAGTTTAATAAATTATCTATTCCAGAAAATAGAGCAATTGTCCAGAGCAGATATCTAGAGCATCCTTATCATTTTACAAATACGTAGGAAGCATAGTGAGACTTATAAATGCTGTGTGTGTTTAGGATATCTTTCTAAGCAAAAAATTCCATACAAGTACCAAATTTTCAGCCGATCGTTCATGGGGCACCTATATGGAAGTAAGTAATTAGGGTGCATAGTAAAATAAGTAATAAATTCTCAATCGATTATTTTTAACATATTTATATAATAAAGTGTATAGTAGGAATCCTAGTGACGCTTATTTATTCTTACACCACTTTTGTTAGCTGCTAGCAAGTTGAATTTATCCCAAATGCTGACGTGAGAATCACCGCTGCCGTGTCTAGGAAACTGTTTCAGTACTGTAAGGTTCTGGCTGCAGAGTTAGACCTGCCCCCTAGGCCAGATTGTAAAAACAAATCTGAGGTGCCCAAGAGACACCAGCTTTAATTCCAACTTCAGCGCCATCAGCTACTGTTGTTGCCCTTCGTAACTAATTGTTTGTGTTCTTGCTTTCCTCTGACACAACTTATGATTTCATTGATACGTTCCCAATCATTTGAAATTTGAATGGCCTCCTTACATGGTTGTTCACTTGTTTAATCAAAACAAGTGAGGTTCTAGTCGGCAGCTCCCGACTAGGGAACACTCTGAAGCCTCTTATTCCAAGACCAAATGTAGTTCGCACAACGCGCATTTTAGAGGTAATAAATATAAATTAAAAAACAAATTCCCTTGGCAGGGCTCAAACTCGCAACTTATCGTTGTATTTGCTGACGACTCTACTCAACAAACAAGCAAGCAAAAAAAAGTAACTTCCCAGGTAGGAGTCGAATTCGCGACAGACCGCAACACTTGCTATGCCTCTACTCAACAGCCACGCCAATAAGAAAGTACTTATGATAAAAAATGAACTAAAATAGCATTACAAAATAACGCAATTACAATGCTGTTAGAATGCGATAGAATGCGAAGCAGACGCGCATGAAAGTGTGTGTGTAAATTATATTAATCTGTTGGTGAGGGATGCGATAGTTGATCTGTTTCTCGTCCAGCGATGCCTAGTCCAGTGATACGGTATTTAGGACGGTTATGGTGGAGAGTTTGACGTCACTTTCTTTGCTAATTACTGGCCTTGTGGCTCAGCAATTCAATTGTAATATATGACAAATGATATGTACGGCAGCGTGCCGGAGTAGTGCAAGTTTATTCTTAAACGTCCTCAATCGTACTAAACTTATCGATGACCTGTTGAATTTCGTCTTCTCCTTAATACTTGAAAAAGGAGGAGCGAGCCGGTGAAAAGGAGGCTGAATCCTGCACCAGCTGCAAACCAGACCTTGGGTCGACGCTATTTCCTCCTTGAACTCTTGGATGATGTGGTTATTCATCCTATGGAGGAGCGGCATGCAGAACACTGGATCGTGGCTGATGATGTTTAAAAGTGGCGATCCCGCAATGCCCTGAATTTTGATTAGGGCTTCGCGTTGGTTCACATACTTAGTGCCGTTGATCATAGCTGAGCGTTCATAGATGACGAAATGCGTGCCATTTGTTGATATTTCGGGGCCGTCGTCAGTGTTGATTCGAGCTGGGCTTTCGTTGATGATTATGACGCCGTCGTCCACGAGTAAGATTGGTTTAAGATGGCTCGGTTGCGAATGGCAATGGGCTGTGCCCCCAGCATGTAGTGCCCGAAAACAAGTTTCATGGTTTGCCGCCTTGCAGAATGTATCGTAGGTTGTTGTGATGCATTCCGAGACTGCTAGGGTAACGTCTTTGCATTCGGCCACAAGGTCATTTTGTAGTTGCAGTACGGTGTGTTGGTCTGGCACAGGAAATACGATGATCTTCTTACAGATAAACTTAATTCTGGGGTATGCGATTAATATATGTACGATATTTTCCGAATGAAAGATCTTAATATTGGATGCTTCCGTTAAACTAACTATGGGGACATCTGTGGTGTGTTCAACTAAAGACTTCAAATCATTATGGCCCAAAACGGTGGAGTTTACTATGTTAGACTTGGCGAGAGTAATTCTGTGCATTAGGTTTAGAATTTCCGTTATTAACATTCTATTCCTCGCCAATAGCGCTTCGTACAAATGTGGAGTTATAACTAAATCATTCCTTTTTGCTTTGATTATTTGGTTAATGGTGACTGAGCAATAGGTTTTGAATTTCCGTTATCAACAGAGTCTTAATGGTGTCTGTGAGTTGATTTATCTGCTTTTGTGTCTCTGAGTTTATCATTACCTGCCTATTGTTTGCCTCGATTAGCTTGGATTCGGTCGTTCTGATTCTCTCAAGGTCTGAAGCGTCTGGGGTGCTGCTACTACCTTAAGTGCAGTGTCTAAGCTTCTTGCTATTCTATGATGTATTTTTAAAACGGACAATATACTTCTAATGTGATCTGTGTCAACGTCTAGTAGTTTTCGCATATGTGATTGGGGAAGTTGCTGGAGTTTCTCAATTAGTCTCGCTGCTCCCATACCAGCGTATTTCCGTCTATTAAAGGTAGAGTGTGAATAGTCGGTAATTCGAGCGTTCGCTATCGCTATAATAGAGAGGATCGTACCCCAAGCCTGTAAATCTGTTCTTAACCTATTTATTTTATGATCCGATTGTAGGCCTTACTTGAGGTTGTCCTTGTAGACCACCCTTCCCTTAACTAGGACAGACGTTCCCATGTCTGCTTGTATTTTTTCTTCTGAGCATAATGGGGTCAATTTGTTTCCTAGCCTTCTGTTATTCTTCAGAAAATCACTTTCGCCTACCTCGAATACTCTGTTTTGTCTGTCCGGGCTGCATCTGTTAATATTGGTTAGTTGTGCTTTTGCTATTTTTATACCCTGAACCCATTAAATGTGGGTATAAGAGTATATTGTGTTTGTGCAAAATCCAAATATATGTAAAGTATATATATTCTTGATCAGCATAAATGGCCGAGTCGATCTAGCCATGTCCGTCTGTCTGTCCGTCCGTCCGTTTTTATGAACGCAAGGATCTCAGAACCTATAAGAGCTAGAGACTTCAAAATTTTAGATGTAGGTGCTCCTAGCTCCCGCGCAGATCGAGTTTATTTCCGATGATCGATAGCTTACTCCGTTTCCAAGCAATCGATAAAAATCGATATCGACATCCTTATTTTTGAGTAAGTTGGGTAAATAATAATAGTAAAGTCCCCAAACTTGACATATAGCTTCTAAAATAGAATATATATGCATTTGATGTTGGAAGAAGAGGGTTCAGGGTATCCCCTAGTCGGGAGCTCCCGACTAGAACCTCTTGTTTCTTTTATGTTTTCCTGGAATTCTTTGGGTGCCGAGTGTATAACCTCTATGGGTTTTTGGTTTGTGACCGAGTGCAGTCTTGTTGTATTCTACTGTCGCCCTCATGATTAGGTCGATTGTGTCGTCAATTTTTTTTTGTCGACTTTTAGGCACCTTGCAATTTCTGTTAAGGTGCTGTGGAAACGCTTCACCTCTCCGTTTGAGGTACTGTGTAGTGGAGACGCATTGACAATATCTAAGCCATAATTGTTTGTGAGAAGTGAAGTAATTGTCTCTGAATTAAATGCAGCCTCGTTATCACAATATATTGTTTTGATGTTTGGGAACAAGTTCACCAATTGGATTATGGGCATTTTTGGGTCTACTATGGTTCGTGACGCTACTGTTTGAACGTCTGCAAGTTTTGAAAACTTGTCGATGCAAGTTAGAAACTTTTTTGCCTGTTGAGTAGATGTCAATATGGAGCATTTCTCCGGCATAGAAAGGAATTGGTGTTATGCAAAGCTCTTATCTTTTGGGATACCTTACGGTTTTTTCATTCATTTTGGGAAAGTAATAGTCGCGGATGAATTACTTGATGTTTTCTTGAGCGTCCCAATGTACACGGTTGTGTTCATATATGTGATATCTGATACGACATTTTTGCAATGCCAAAATTTGGTTGCCGGGAAGTGTAACACTAGACTGTGTTGAAAACTAGCCAGAGTTGATAAATCGCAGTGAATTGCATTTACAACTTCTGGGTTATTAACTTACTTTATTGTTTCAAAGAGATTTTTTTGTCAGTGAAGCTGATGAAATGGCGAGTCTTGCTGCCGAAGAGTATGAGGTTCCTGAAGCAATTTAGAGGCTTGTCTGTAGTTTCGACCGTGTAGGTCAGTGACATTTCGCCGTGCATGGGTGCAGCGTCTGACTGAGGATCGTTTATTAGAGTATTTATGTTCTGTCATGTAGAAGCATCCGCTAGAAAGTTTTCTTTCCCTGGCTTGTAGAACAGTTTTGCGTCATGTTGATCTATGTAAGCTTTCCACCTCTTAATTTTGGAGTTTGTGTTTTTGTCCGAGACAGCAAAGGTGAGAGGTTGATGGTCAGTAAAAATTCGTATTTTTTTTGTACCATACAGTAAGTTTTGCAGCTTACCCACAGCCCAGTTAGTAGTTCCCGCTCATTTGTGGCGTAATTAAGCTCGTATTGCTTTAGCGTCCGGGAAATCATCGTTATTGGTCGGCCTTCTTAAGATAACACTGCTCCAATGCCATCGGCGGATGCATCGGTAGTTTAATCAAAAGGCTTTTTGAAGTCCGGGTACATTAAGATGACATCTTCTGATGCCAAAATGTTTCTTAGGCGTTCAAATGCTTCGCGCTGAGTTTCATTACACTCAACTGTAACCTTTCTGGACCTGTGTTTGCTGACTGAGCCGTTTACGCCTTTCAATATGTCTGTTAACGGTCTTACTATGGAAGCAAAATCTTTAACAAAACTTCTGTAATAGCTGGCTAAG